TTTTTTTTTTTTTTTTAACCCACCGGTGCTATGGGTGCTGGCAAGGGCAGGCATCGCTAGCACCTAGGGGGGGCTCCATCTATTGGTGGGGAGCAACACCTGCTGGAAAACGGGTCCAGCGTCCCTTGTACAGAATGAAATTGGAGAGAATCAGGAATCGCCTGCCAGCATTGATTGCTCTGGAGTCCAGAGGATTGACATATCCCAGAAATCAGCAGTGATCTTAGTCTGTGTTTTAGTGGGTTATTACACTACCCCCCTCTCAAGAGCGAGGTCCCTTCGAGCGAGTAATTCAGAGTCGGCACAAACTGCGTCGTAGGCATAGATCAGAAAGAGAGTTTCAGTATAACCGTGAGGAGTGAGTGTTGCAGAAAACTTAGCAGTCTGTCCATCGGCAATCTGTCGTTCGATCTAGTAGAACTCGTTCAACGGGTGATAAAGGAAGTGAACTTTTTACTGTCTGTTCCTCCCTCTTCCTTCATGGGAAACAATTCTGTCTATTTTGTGGCCACCGTTGATAGCACGAGGTATCATAGGATCTCAGAAGGGTAGAGTCTCATCATTAATGTGGGGGAACAGTTTGCATGCGTGAAAGACCGGATACGTACGCAGACGAGGTGGTACGTCGATCACATATGAAGGACCAAATTTGTCATCTCCTACCTTTAGAACTTGCCAAGGACCATAGTACAATGGAAGAAGCTTTTGTGATACTCCCTCTTCTTCGGAAAATTCAGACATCTTGATCCAGACATAACTTCCTACTTCGAAATTCCCTGCTTTGCCTGACTTTTTAGCATGTTTGATTATGGCATGCCGACGCTTGTTCATCACTGCGATAGCAACTTTGAGCAAGCGTGCATACTTGGCATTGTAGCCAGGCATGTCGAGCGTCATACCAGGTGACCGATCGTGGAACAGATAGGAGACAGGATTGCACAATTGCCAACCGCATTGCAGTTGATTCAGTGCCATGCCAGTTGCGGAGCGAATGAAGTTGTTATACAACCCCTTCACTTCGTGTAACTCCTTGTCCCACGTGCTCTGATGGGGAACAATTAACGCGCGAAGTCGTTGAATGACGGTCTGGTTTATTTCCTCGGCCAACCCATTGGCTTGGGGGTGTCGACCAGAAGGCATGTTGAGTTTAATGTCGTAGATTTGAGAGGTAAAGTCCTTCCAACCCGTACTAATGAACTCGGTGTCTCGATCACTCACAAGAGTTTTCAGGGGGGCATACTGCAGAATGTACTGCTGGTGAAATTCTCTGATCACAAGCTCAGTTGGTACATGAGGAGGTAAAGGAATCAAATTCAAAAATTTGGAAAAACGATTCACGATGACCATCACCTTTCCCATGTCCATGAAATCGATAGAAATCGACTTACCGGGTCCATTAGGAATGGGGAGGGGTTTCAGCAAGCCATAAGGCTTATGCCTATGGACCTTGGTTCTTTGATAGACTTTACATTCAACAATAAACTTCTGAGCGGATCCCTTCATTCCTGGCCAAGCAAACTGCTGCAAAAAACTTTCGTAAGTCTTCTCAAAGCCGAAGTGTCCACTCCGACCATGTGTCAAATCCAAGAAATGGGTCTGGAGAGGCACATGGTTGGGTACACACAAACGATCAAACTTCTCATAACGTCGGAATACAAGACCCTCGCACTTGTGAAAATCAGGCTGGGTGCTAGGGTCATCCTTGATCTGCTCGAGGATGGGTCTAAGGTTCGGATCCTTGGCA